TGGGTAAGTCGTCACATTGCAATTATCTTTGCCACCAGAGGGCGCAACTAAAAAGTGGAATACTAGTTTTATTGTTTACATGGTCAGGGGTCGTGTCCTGTCTGAGAAGAGAAGAGCACATTGTGAGCTGAGATGAGCGCCAATTAACCATTTTGCACAACCCAAAGTAATATAAATTAAGTTTAAATATTTTAAAATAAACTTCTTCCAGATAAAAATCCTAGCAGTGAAACGTGGATTTGTTAGAGGAGAGATTAAGGCATCCTGTCATTGCTCAGTCGTTGTTCTGTTTTAAGCTAACTTTAAGATAGAGCTCTAATTAGCAAACATGGTAGTTTGGGGCAACATGTCTCAGTCATTTTGAGGTTAGTTGTCACATGTTTACGTGAAATTTTGACTTTATTTTTACGGAGAAAAGAGAAAAGTGGTTTACAGGGGAAGAGAAAGTGAGAAGACCTGGTCAGGAATTACAAAAGAAAAACAGTTGCATAATATTTTATGTTAACATTTGTTCAATGGCTATGTTCACTGACTTTTTCTAGCTCAATGATAAACATTTTCTGTGCCTGACTTTAATGTTCACTTTCAGGTAAAAAGAAAATGAGCACAACAATAATTCTGTCTTTGTTTTATTAGCTGCAAAATCCACTGTGACATGTTACCCCATGTAGCGAGACAACTTACCCGATGGTGGGGCAACATGTCACATGTTCACACTCTCTATTGGATTGCTTGTAATTCTGCACTGACACATGATTTAGAAATGACATGAATACGAAATATATACCTGAGACTTCGGTCTTTCATCTGGTACACATTTTGTTTACATATGATGTATTGACTCCAGAAATTACATAAGAGTGTGAAAAGTGTGACAACAAGCCCCAGTCTCCCCTACATAATGAACGTCTCTCCTGGTATCTTGTGATCTACTGTGTATCTCATGACAGTTTTAAAACAAGCCAACATGAACGTGAACTCATCCCAGGTTAACCGCTGGCTCTCTGAGCTTACTTTCATATCCTCTCTTTTACGTGGCACGATTCAAATGAAATTGCAAATGGAGAGTAAATCTAAATAAGACCTGCCGTCTAACGTCTTTTATCTAGAGGACAGTTTTCATTTCATTTCCTTATCCTCGCCCTGAAAAAGGGAAAAGTGGAATTATCACACACACTGGGTGAGTGTGAGTTAAGTCCGTAAGAAGATTTATTTGCATAAGCACACACAGTCGGAGCAGTTTCCTGTGAAACAGCTTTGATGAAAGGCCTTATAGCTCTGGATGTTGCAGAGGGTTGTATTGCTTTCCCTTTAAATAAATATGCAAAATATGAATTTTAATGTCCTGATAAATATGTTTGGCGTTGACCTAAATACCAACAGTAATACCTGATTCTTAAAGCACAGTTAAAAAAAACAAACGTCTCCTGCATGGCTTTAAAACACTCAGAAATGCAAATGAATTACGAAATATATAAGATAAAGATGTTTTGCATTAATAACATCCAAATAATTTAGATTTCAAAACAGTGTTTAAGGGTGAACCATTGACTGTAAGTGTGCTGAGAAATACAGGAAATGGATTCAATGGAAAGTAAGGTTGACAGTGTGGTGGACTGAGTTCACTTTGCCACAGTTTTTAATGTATGACTGACAGAAAAGCAAAGTGACACGAGTGGCTTCAAACATCACCAGCATGTTAGCTTAAGTTCTGTGACTGTGTTTAAAGTGTTGGCACTAAAATTTAGCATAATTTTCTCCCTTTGGCATTGATTATGTTGACTGAAGTGCAGCGTTAGGCATTTGTACTGTTAAATCAGCTCTTATGGGGACACAGAGGATTCGCAGACTGCAATGAGACATGATTATCCTGTAATGAAATACATCTCCAAAACCAAATTATTCCCCGAGTACTCCAAGAGAGCCTAAATGAATGACTTGAGGATGTAATCATTTCCCTGTTCATGTCGCATATTCATTTATTTTAGCATTGTTTCCTCTCAACTGTCTGCATGAAGACCAGATACATTTCTCATCACAGCAGCATCTCTGCAGCTGCTGCTTGAATATGAATTTTCAAGAACATGGCTCCTTCACTGGCCATGAAACTTATCGAGAGAGAGAGAGAGAGAGAGAGAGAGAGAGTGTGTGTGTGTGTGTGATATGTGTGATGAATTTTACACAAAAAGGTGCAAGTGGCTAGCAATCTAGGAAATGTGACGACTGGTTTAGTCAAATTTTTAAAACTATTGTGACTTAAAAATAAAATTTCTGCGGTAAAAACAATTTTATATTAAGTTTTAGGTTTGGAGCACGATACTTCTTTAAACCTGAATGGCCTTAAGATTGAGCAGGATGCAATTTGTTAAAATATAAGCACGTGTTGCATAAATTTAAATACATTCTTGCAACCTTGATTATCTTTCTAAAAAAACAAAACAACCCCCCCCCCAAAAAAAAAAAACCTGAGGATCGGTGGTCATTGCCTTTCCCCATTATTAGCCTATCCACAGCTTAGGTGCTACAAACAGGAATAAATACAAAAAAAACATATCCTGGTGTTTAAAACTCTAATTTTAACACATTTATTTATGCATAATCTTTTAATATATAGGTGTATGTTCTCAAGAAGCATTTGAGCGCTGCAGTTTTTCTCTGAAATCTATAGTATGTTCAGGTTTGTGCAAGAAAACTTGCCTTTGTTGTCGCTGATTGCGATGGAAACAGCCTCATGTATGAAAACCCATCTCATCCGAGCTTCTAGCTTCAGACTAATCTTATTTACATGAAATATCGCAGAGGGAAATGATATCAGAGATAATATGACCCATCTCTGTGACCTGGTTATGTTGCTGCAGCCTAAATGAGCAGCCTCTGCGTCTGCAAAGCTCCTCTCACTGCGGGATGGTAAATGGTTGAAAAAAAAAAATCAAAAGGTAAATAAAAGATATATGCTTTCTGAAATGTGTATTTTCAAACTGAGCCTGACTTGATCTTGTTTAATTAAGACTTAGAAGTATTTACAGTGTTTACACGCAAACAAAGAACCAGGTTACTGGAAGTAATTAGATTAAGTCAGGAAATTGTGTCCCACAGAGGGGTAGCTAAAGCTGGAAAAGATCAAGACAAATCTCAAATACACACTCAGAGGCACACGTGGACACACACACACACACACACACACACACACACACACACACACACACACACACGGGGAGGAGCGTGATACAGTCTAACTCTACAAAGAGCCAATTATCTGAGGGTCTGTTTCTGTTCAGCCAATCAGCGTTCAGCATGCCTCCTCTGCCTCTTCTGGCTCCAGGAAGCAAAATAAAGTCATCTGTTGAGAACATGGGCCTGGTATCAGGATATCTGTTGAAGTCTATCTCCCTCTTATGGCTGTTTTTAAAATTGCAGCAGCACATGTACATAAAGTTGCCCAAGTAATTAGAAGCCATGCAAGTAAACCAACAGAGACATGTTGTTTTGACATTTTGCTGCCCCTCTCTACCTTTTGCAATGCAGTTTAAGAGTTGCATTCATCCTGGATCTATATGTGTGCTTTTGGATTTGTATCATTTGAGCATTTGCAAAACACTACTCTTAATGGGGCTGGGAGTAGCCTATGTATGTTATTTGATAGACAGCACCATCTGCTGGGCAAAAACAGGAAGTTCAAATATTCTGTTATCCGCTTGACTTAATCCTTATATGCACTAATTTTATCAGATGAAAGCATTTGAACTTACAAATCAAATAACTTTTGTCTAAATTCATCATTCATGCCTTTGTGTCATCACGTTTAGACTACTGTAATAGTTTGTTTTCATGTCTGAACAAAAAGGAGCTGTCTCGTCTTCAGTTAGTGCAAAACTCTGCATTGAGAATTCTTACCCGCGCTAATAGGAGGACTCACACAACCCCTATTCCCTATTCTTAAAGCTCTACTTTGGCTGCCTGTGTCCTCTAGGATCAATTTTTTTTAAAATTCTGGTACTAACATTTAGAGCCTTGCATTGTGGCAACTCTCACAACTTAAACGTATTCTGCTGTCTTTGTGAGTCAGTGTGTTTGTTTATCTGAGAGAGCCAATAGGGAGGTTTGGCTTACACACTAGAGGAGTACTTCATTTCCTTGAAGTAATAATCACCATATTAATCACTTTGCACTGCAGATGCGGTAGTTCTTCTGCCTTACCGTCTCGGTCTGATTGCATTTCCATGAAGAAATGATCATAGATGTTCTTCCTTGAGCTGCATCACCCCGCAGCAGTCCGTAATCGACTAACCCGAGGTCTCACTACAAACAAACGGCTACTGGAAGAGAGTGGGTGAGTTGTGTTTAGTCTCTTTCCTAAAGAAATCAGGCAAAAGTAAAAAGATGTTTGGTGGTTGGTGCTGTGGCTAGGACCCTGTATGTACTGTTGATGAAGTTAGGTGCTGTTCTGAGCATTATTTGTGGCTATAGAGTGGCTTTTTGGTTGAGGTTTGTTTATGGCTCCTCAGACCGCTGTGTATTGCTATCGTGCGGTCGTTTCTAGAGTTGGTATAACTAGAGAAGCAAGCGGTCGGCAACATTCATCTCTCGAGGGGGTGTTTAACTCTGTGTTATGTTGTGCTTGACCGTAAATTAATTTTACGCCAGAATATCCCTTAACTGGTTGTGTAAAAACGTCAACCATTGGTATCACTAATGTATATTTCAGTCTTCTCTAGCTAACAGGTCAAAGTTTTCACCTTTTACTAGTTTACTCGGGAGGATTTTGGCAGTCTACTAGTTAACCAGTGCTGTCAAAGATGTAACATACAATTCCAGGACGATGTCTGATATTAAGGATATGGAATAAATACTCAAACAGCTTTCCATACAACCTAAACATAAGCGAGACCCTGCCTCACGGGCGCGCGAGCTCGACCACGTGCTCGAGAAATCAAATTCTCGCTGTAGTTAGTGTTTTTGTCCCCGCCCCCTCCCCCTGAGCTCTGTCCTGTAAGAGAGCAGAGACTTCGCAGACACACATAAAGCAGAGTCCAGCGGCCCCTCTCAGCTGGTTCGTGGATCATGGATGCCAATGTTGTTGTGATGGGATCTGAAAGCGTCGGCAAATCAGGTAAAAAAAGAAAAATCCTGACAGATTTCACTCACATGCATCAAACTTTTTGTTGCTTATGGTAGATTATGTTTTTCAGCTCTGACTGTGCGCCTCTTAACTCGGAGATTCATCGGAGAGTATGGAGATATCGGTAAGAGAGTTTTGCAAACATTGATTGTACGATTCAAATCAATAACCCTCCACGAATTCAACAACAACAACAACTTGCCTTTGGTTTTGCAGAATCTATCTACAGTCACAACTTTGAGACGGACGGGAGAGACATCACGCTTAATATTTGGGATATTTATGAGGTATGGAAAATACCAGAGTAGACTATAACTTACTGAGTCTTCATTATTAGAAGAGAAAAGATAGAAAACTAATAACTTAAATTAATACTTTAAAAAGTTTAATCAAAATCTAAGCTTTTCTTTTTAGCCTTTTAATGCCTGAAACCACAAATTATGGCCAGAAAATTCTTTTTTTTTGGAGCTGAAATGTTTATTTCACTTACTACTGAAAACCAAAAAACATCAAAATGTCCTTAAAATTTAATAAATATATTTATTTATCTCGTTTGATACATTAGATGTTTTTGGAAACTGATAAACCACAAGAGGATATTTTTATCATTTATCGGACTGTGTGTAAGGTGTTTTTTTTGTATTGATTTGATAGAAGCATCATTAAAGTATGTATAAAATATGATACAAAAAGCATTAAAGGGTTAACAACATTATAAGTTTAAAAACTTTCTGAAATATGACATAAGCTCGAGACCCCCCAGACTTAAATATTATTTTTACAGGCCTGATAAGATACTGAATCTGTATTTTGTTACTTTTTTCGGCAGGATTTGTCAGTGGAGACGTCCCTCTCTGAGAAGAAGATCCAGTGGGCAGATGGCTTCATTCTTGTGTACAGCATCTGTGACAGAGCCAGTTTCAACATCGTCAGCAAGCTCATTCAAACCATCAAATCCACCAAAGACTACCTGAACACAGACAAAGTGCCTATAGTGATTGTGGGTAACAAAAGGGACCTGCACCACAGGAGGACAGTATCCAGTGAGGAGGGCCGGCTGCTCGCCCTCAAAGCAGACTGCCTTTTCTACGAGGTGTCAGCAGCAGAGAACTACCACAGTGTCCTCATGGTGTTTCATGGGCTGGTGGACAGGATAAAGGACACCAAGCTGGCCCTGAAGAGGCCTTCAGGGTTCAAAGGAATAGTAAAGAGCATGTCTGCAGTGTTTGCCAGGAGACGCACTGACTCCTTTTAGCAACACAAAGACAGAGGAGGAAGTTTTCTGTGAACTTGCACAAGACTGGATGGATATCACAGTCTGCCAAACGTGTCACATAGCACTTAGTTAAGAGTCTCGGACTTTAAAGGAAAGTCTGCAAGGACTCCGAGGAATAGCAAAGCCATGCAGCTTCAGGAAACACTGTAGAGTTTATTTTGACAGTTTAAACTTAGTTACAGTGCAAACAAAACTGGTGAGATGTTCAGTTTTATTTTGAATTTATAAACCAATTATTAACCTCTGTGAGCAACAAGGTATGCACTTTGCAGCTTTAAACACCAGCCATGGCTTCATATTGGAGGAAAATCTTTGCACAAAGTAAATGTGCCTTTATTAAAGAAGATAACCAAAGAAAATTTTCAAAATTCAAGCTCTTAATTTTACAAGTGAAACTTTTTTTAAATGTGGGACAAATGCTTTGCCTAAGTCTGCAATCAAGCCTTTCAAGTAAAACATGTATATTTGTATTTATTCAAGTTCAAACACTGTACAGCGGAGTGGTTTCTATATTTATGAACTGTTTATGAATAGATAATGGGGTCTTAAAATGAAGTTTGTGTAAATCTTGTATTGTGTCTTAAATAATAAAGCATAAAACATGCACACGTCTGGTTTGCTTGTGTTTTACTTGCAAGCAAGTCCTTTACCCTCATGAAGAAATAGACCAATCAGGTGCAGTTATTATGGGTCAGATCAGTAAGGCAGCATCTGGCAGAGACTTGGTAGAGTGCTGACCGACTTGACCTTGTTCTGAAGAGAGAGGATGGTCTTTGATTCCTGTTCACAATCATCATGTTTTCTGACAGAATTTAACAGCATAACAGTGTCTGAATGAACACAGACCGTCTTTGAAAGCAAAAATTAGCCAAAAATGGTGTAAAAATCTCCTCACTGTCCTGAATGATTCTTCAACTATCTCACATTAAACAGTTCATAATTGATAGTAGGCTAATTGAGTAGTAATCACATATATCCTCCAACAATTATGCACACATAATTACACAGCTAGTGCTTTCTTCTGGAAAACTAGAAGTAGATAAAATAAAGTCTCCACTAGCTATACAGATGAGTCCTAACATTTTCTACACACAGGATATTGACTTTAAATCATCAAACACTGAACAGAAACCCTCTGACCCTCTTTTTCAGTGAGGTCTGTAAATTCCTCTCTGAAACTAGGAGCAAATTCCTCTCATGTTCCACTGTCTCCTCAAATAAACGAGGTCTGACCTCCAGAGTTTATCAACAAAAAAGTCTATTCCTCTATCCCTCCCTCAGCCTCCTGTCATCAGGTGTATAGACGGTGTCCATCTTTGTGGTTAATAAAAAAGCAGCATGGAAGGGCAAATGGCAGGTAAGCCGGTGCCAGCTCTCCCTCTTTTCTTTTCTTGTATATCAGGAATCTGACAGGAACAAGGCACAGGTTAACAAAGTTAGACTGGGGCAGTCTGGCTCTACAGGCCCTTGTCATAGTCTTTGATCCTCCTGGGCTGCTTTGTAACAGGACCCAGATCAAACCGAACAAAGAGGTTTCACCTGAAGGGGCTGCCTTCAGCTTCACTGCTGTGTTTCATGTCTCCATGTGCTGGCAGAATGACACCCTCACTTTCAGAGAATAAAACCACTCTTCTGCAGAAAAATATGAACACGGAAAGATACAAGAGTTGCAAACCACTTAGTTTATACAGAAATGAATGTATGCCTGTGCAGAAAATGAGCTTTGATCATGTATTTTTCCAAGAACTGTTTTCTCTTAAGAAGAAAATTGTTTCATCTGATTGATTTTCTTTAAGATTACATCTTGAAAGGTGCACTGGATCATGTTGGTACCAGAAATTGATCGCACAGACTGTTGCCTCTGGTCAACCAGAGGTCACCAACATCATATCAAATAAACACCTAAAAGAAGTCTAACACAGACATAGAGTTTATGATTTCACCTCTTCCTGTGGTGAAAACATTAGTTTTCAAATGCACCTGTAGACAGCACTGGGGAAACTCCTCGTAGCCACAAACTGCACTAGGGTATGGGTTTTAGAGGTTTTACAGAACGGGTAAGATGGATGAAAATAACAACAGAAAATTAATGAGACCTTTTGCTGGTGCATCATATATTTTCTGCATTTATGAAGAATGCAAATAAAAAGAATAATGCTTTGACTTCACAACAAATTAAATAAAATGTTCAAATTAAAGCTCCAGTAAGGAACTTTCAGCTTGAGTCAGTTTTGGTCTCTTAGGACATAGCAGTCTTCACTGATCTCATCTAGCCTCATCCCGCTGGTCTTCGACAGTTAAATGTACAGTATCTCTCATTGTGAATAAACAGTGCTGTTAGATCTTCAGCTGCACAGCTGACCTACACCTACCCCATCACAATGGTTTCAGGCATGAAAAATCACAACAGCAAAATCCTCTGTCATGTCCCTGATGGGTTCGGTTGCCTTTGTAGATCAAGAAAACGTATCATCATGAATTTCGGTTAATTTCATACAGGTCAAAAACTCCTAACAGGAGCTTTAATGTAATGTATAAACAAAAAGTCAGCTGTTTTCAAAGCGCTGTTTTCCCTCAAAAGCATGCTCAATAAAACAATCTAGCTGATAATGTACGTACATCTTTATATATCCAGCTTTATGATGTTCAACTACTGTCTTTTATTTTACAAACACAAATATAATTTCCTAATTAAAAAAGGTAAAAAAAACATGAGTCTGACAGCCTTAAAGATGAAGATCCAAACATACCAGGTGTTGAAACACATCTAGTTTGCATACTGTGAGCCTCAGCATTTAGTCAGACATTAACTTTGCTGATGGACCGTGGCTGGAAGTTTAAAGTCAAAATAACCCTCAGAACACAGAAGGGAGAAAGCAATAGCATTTAATGAATGTCTTTGTGGCTATTGTTCTGGATCACATAAAAACTGGGCTTCAATAATAAGTTTGGACATTTCAGAACAAAAGCTTTTTAAATCCTGAACCGAAGAGCAAACTGCCTTTTAAAATTTAGAGGAAACATATTAAAGAATAACTCTTTATTAGAGGGCAGAAGCTGAAGAAGTCAGTTTCTAGGCTAACGTGTACACTGCACTGGATGTTGTTTTCCTGCTTGGCTGGTGGCACACATAACTGCACTCTGAGGAAATCTCATTTTCTTTACCTTATTAAATACAAGCAGGCCTGATTTCATTACTGGGTAAGCAACATAAAAGAATAAGGGGGCATGGAGGCTGGCAAGTGCATGGAGAGGGTAAACAGAGAAAGAAAACCCATTTACTGAAGGTGAAAGTAGCAGTGACTTGATCAAATCAAAAGCTGATGCTGCACGTGAGCAACTCTGTGTTATAAAAGAAAGTCAGGAGCAGAATAACACGCAGGTTAAGGTTAATTTTCTAATATAATAGTGACTGATTAATGTGCGGCTTTCTTATCCACACAGGTGAGAAAAGACAGCTTAGACAGTTTTCTTAAGGCGGCAATTTTCACTTTTTTATTTTTGTGTTTTTTGTCTGAACTCTTACATTCATCTTTACAACTGATCAGCATAATAAAATGTAATTTCTTCAAGAGCAAGACCACAAATATCTGATTGAAACCTACCAAAGTTACCAAGATGCTACTGCCTTTTCAGGACTTATCTCAAAAAGGACTTATTTTAAAACCACACAACTATTTCATGAATGAGGTTTAACTTAACAAACCTCAGCTATCAATGTCTTTTTGCCTTTTAAAGTAATCTTGGGGTAATACAGTAAGTTGACAGTCTCAAGTCACTGTGCTAATAATACAAGCAGGGGACCAACAGGGGGCTAATTCAAGCTTACATAACTATTGAAAACAGAGGGACTCAGCAAACAGGACTGTGTGCAAAGGGCAAATCTGGGGGTTATATCAGGTTTTATTCTCACAAAGGACTCTGCACAGTCCTGGCTAAACACATTGAAGACTGAATTTAATGATAGGCATTTTTACTTGTTTATCTACCTACCTAAAAGAGGCTACTTTGCCTGTGCACACACCGCACATGAGCAGTCCCCATGTGAGCTTTAGGGGGAGTAACTTTTTTGTGGATATATACCTTTTACACCTTCACTTCTGACCTTTTTGGGAACATTTGTAAATACTCCTAAAGTGGTTTTTAGCTACTGGGATTAGCAACTCATTTAAAGATGCTTTTTCAACACACTGTCTGCATAATGTAGTTTTAAATGGTAAACTACAGTAAGAGACTGGTCTTTACTAGTTTTTGCATTTAGGCCTTGTGAGACAATGACTTATTCACAGTTAACTCACTTCTTCATTAGAACAAGTTCTGTATTCTGTTTAAAGTACAATCAGCAAAAGCCTTGTGGCATAAAAGGCTTTGGGAATGTGAAAATGACATCCAGTTTTCTGGTACAGGATTTACATCTAGGGGGTCTGGAATGTGTTGGAGAGCAAACTGGTGCACAATGAGCCGATTTAATAAAAACGTGTTAATTGTTCAAATATTCCAACTATCCCTTTGCTTCATGGACTCTTACCTTTGCTGAGATCCCCTGCAAAGACCGAAGGACCCCCTGCAGCGCTGTACAGCTCAGTAGCTTTCCAAATAAGGTCCTGGCGTGTCCACACAATAACTATGGTTCAGTACCCTGCAGGGAAAGTGCAAAGTTCACCAGCACTTTGTACTTATTCAAGTTTGTAGCATGAGGCTTTTCTTACCGGTGCTTCCTGAACCAAACAGCAGCTTTTCATTTGAACATATATAGCTGCTTCCTTTCAAATTCACTGTCACCTAAGGCTGAAAGCTGAAGGTTTATTTTGACAGGTTGTCAATTGCTCTGTTTGTGTCAGGTATATAAGATCGTATAGAGTCAGAGTTGCAGGTCCAGCACCCACTGATTTCTATTCTCGAGTCAGCGGCGCTTTTCATTTAAGTGAGGTTTTCAACTTACCAATCAAAAGTGGATGATTATTTGCAACATTACTCCCACTAAGGGTGATTAAATAGGTAATGAGCAATGTAAATTTGGGGTTTAGCATCCAAATGTGTCATAATTAACAGGATTTTAGAGACCAAGGGATAATTTTCTTGTCTGAGCCTTTAATAATATCATCCTTCACTGACTGCAGAGGAGTCGTGTCTGCGGGGCAGCACTGATAATGCCTTGATCTAATTTAAAACGGCTGATTGAGTTTGGAAAATGTTTTCTCACACATGGGTTCACGTGGAGGGAAAGTAAACAGATTTTCACACGTGAGGCAGTATATTAAATCAGGCACAAAGAGGAGTGACTCACCACATCATAATGGGTGCTCGACTGGGTGCCTTTCTTTGTTAGAGACACCGCCTCCATAAGCTGGCAGCAGGTGTTTAAAGGAGTCTAACGTTTCATCGGAAATAACAGCACAATTTATACTTATACATAAAACATAAGAGCCAAATCTCTTTTAAATAAAACTTAATCTGAAAATAGAAACCATATAGAGTTGAATGAAGTCAGATTTTAGGATGAAAACAAGGTGAGGAAGGGATTTAGATTATTTGAAAAATATGACTTAAAGCTCCTGTAAGGAAAGTCCAATCTGTGTCAACTTTGGCACCCCGTGTGGACAAACCC